ATGTAAAGCACTTTATTGAACAAATAAGAAACTTTGGGTTCAGTTTACACCGAGATCAGGCGGGAGACGCGACCATCACTCCGCCACAGGGAAGTTCGGGACCAGAAACACACGGCTTTCATGCTTCACTTTTTTCACAGAAGGGGCGATCCGTCAGAGTAATGATCGATTTATTTATTTTTTTTTATCCCTTCTCTCATATTCTCTTTCATTCATTCTCTATCGCTTTGTATTTTTTATTTCTCCTGTTTTGTACTCATTCTCTCTCATTATCTTTCATTCTCTCACGTTCATCCAATCAGACCCTTTTCTTTCCCTTGACAGCTCAAAAAAAACAAAAAAACAGGTAACATAGTTTGCATTACTGACATGTTTGTAATGACTGAACGACTCAGAGCAGCAGAGCTCCGCATTTTAGAGGCAGTGAGATGTCCGGGATGTTAAACAAAATTACGTAATTTGATGCAACAGTGAAGCAAATCTTGAGGTGCTGGCAAAGAGCGCCTCCGTTTGACTGATTTACTTTTTTTTTTCTTAAACTGGACTGTAATTTAGCCTCACATCCCGTTGTTGTTTTTTTTTATCGACTATACATAATTAGGTCAGAGTCATAAAATATGAGAACATGAAATATAGAAATTTATATACAATTAGTTGACTTTGTAGCGAGGATATATAAACAATACTTTGTGAACTACTGAGAGAACATTGGAAATGACTTGTCTGGTGGACGACCCGGATTTATATCGAAGATGTTAAACAGCTTCAGTGTCTAAGCGACTCCCAAAAGCTGCCTCTTCGTACGTCAACAGGTGCGACTTTACGGGAAGGCGTCCATGATTCCTACACCACTACGACCTTGGAGCAGCAGTAGTAGTAAAATTGCCAGTCCGGTCGTCGCACCATGACATGGATACATAAATAATGTCATAACTTAATAATCACAAAGGTTGAGCATTAACGATGCCACGTCCAAGGGTAATACCCCCGTTCATGCCCCTGGTAACACCCTGGCTTACATACATACATACATAATTATATATATATATATATATATATATATATATATATATATATATATATATATATATATATATATATATATATTCACATACATATACAAGCATACATATATCTACACACATAAATATATACACAGCATTATGAACTTTATGCAGCAAAGTTCAAAAGAGAGAACATTTACAACGTCTAGCGTATAGGTCGCATTTCATGAGGATATGAATAAAATTAACACTAAAACTAAATGACTCGGTATCTTCAACTAATCCTACGTAGTGGGCACACTGAGTCAGGTCACGGATTCATGCCTCTGAAAAGGAGTTGAAGAGGCGTCCCTTCAACAGGAACAGCCTCAACTTTGGTCTCAAGAGTGAGGAAGACCAACCAACGAGGAGGACCTTCGTTGCAGCACCAAGGAGTTCCCCAGGGAGTTTGACGCCAGCTTTGGTCGCAAGGAGAGGGAGACCAACCTACGAGAAGAGCCCTCGTTACAAGGGGTTCCCTGTCAGTTTGATGTCTAGGCCAGTGAATCACTTGCCGGCGTCTTGCTTTGTTTGGCGTCTTCTGGGAGAGGACTTCTGTCGGACGCGTTCTCTGTGATTCTCGCCAGGCTTTCCGTTGCGGGGTTGGCTGCTGGCGGGGAGGAAACACACTCTGGAACGGAGGCGAGGTCTTGTGCGGCGTTAACGGTGCTGCAGGTTATGGTGTTGGTGGCGTCTGTTGAAGGCAGGTCTCCTCCTGAGCCTGGAGGCTCTCTGGGTCGGCCGGTGGGCGGTTTGGCGCGGAACTTATACTTTCTATACTTGGCGTCGCGCTCAAGGAGGTGGTGGGGGCTGGGTCTCCGCCAACCTGGGCTGGGGCGAGGCCCATTGCGTCAGGAGTCCGACTTCGCCGCCACCACTTTGGGCAGCATGCTCTCACTCTCGGCAGAGGAGCATTCGGTAGAACCCGAGGCAGTGGTGGAGCTCGAATTGGAAGTGGCTGTAGAAGCAGACGAGTTGGAGGTAATGGAGTCTCGCCATGGCTCCCAAGCGAAACCGACCGCACGAAAAAACTTGTTCAGTATCGCCTGGAGCGGAGACTGAGGAGCTGCCCGCTGGTCCTTGCAGGGGAGGACGTAGGGGTCGAGGGCTCGGTCGAAGTAGCCGTCGGGCACGGTGGGCGACGGGGGAATCATCTCGAGCTGGAGGTGCAGCAGAGGGCGTCCGCGCCGACTGGAGCCTCCGGGGGACTTGCCGGCGCTGAGGGGCAGTCCCAGGAGGCGCCGAACCTCGCGCTGGATCCTCCTGGAGCGGTACAGGTACACGTAGGGCGAGATTGCGGAGTTGCTCAGCACGAGGATCATGGCCACATTATGCACCACGTTCGGCACCCACAGGGGCTGGAAAGGAGAAAGCAACACGTCAGCTCACGACATCCCGAACGCACAGCCGCCGCATGCAGACACAAACACAAAAAGGCAGTCGTGTTGTGACAACCCTGACCTAGCAACATCCTGCAACGCTCCTAACGAGCTTCCTGCTTCCTTCCTCAATCACGGCCAATCCCAGGACATCCTCATTAACTTCCGCGACTTGGCTGGGCAAAGGTCAGTAACAGTAACCTTTTTCAAGGCTGGTAACTGTCTGATCGACCTTTTTAATTCGAGAAATCTATGCTCGAGAGAAGCTATACCACAACCATTAACGAAAATCAACATATCATCGTAATTAGCATGAAGTAAATAATTAGAAGAAGAATTCAACAAATAAAGTCTAGCAACGAGTTATGATAATCCTTCTATTTTCCTCTTCCCTGTTTACTTTATACACAACAACAAGAACAACCAAAATCCCTTGATCTTATGACAAAGACAATATATTCAAATACGACCATCAAGTGTGTCAGGCACGGTGACACTGCCATTAAAGTCAATGAATATTTGTTCAAGACGCTTTCTCTCACTCCTCTCTCTCGCTCTCCCTCTCTCTCATTGTCTTCCGAGAATTCTCACAGTTTATTCATTTAATATATATCTTATCTATCTTGTCACTTATGCATTTTTATTCTTTCCCCCGTTTCCCAGTTCGTTCTCTGGTCTATTCATATATTCAATCCGATATGCAAGTATTCATTTATCTATGCTGTGAGATATTTTTGTTGCCTTGTAACAGTCTAACGGAAAGGTGATATTAGCACTTAAGATTTTCATTGGTTTTCATCATGTCTTTCTCTTTTCCTTTTTCATCGAAAAATTACCAATAACTGACAAAATGGAAGTTAGATATTTTATTTTATGATACGAATCTTTATCTACATTTGCTTCATCTACGCAGTAAAACGTCATAAAAGTAAAAGGGAACATAATTTCTACCAGTGGTTGTAGACCAAACATATATAAATAAAATCATTCTAGAAAAAAATATAAAACTAGATACAGACTACACAAAGATTAATGAGAAAACTCTATATCTAGAAGTATCTATTTCTGTCTATCTGTATATATATATATATAACTTATACTAATATTATTAAAAAAGGCATTAAACCTTTCAAACCCGATTCTTCCCCACACAAAAAATAAGCAAATAACAAACACACAGATATAAAAACAAGCAAATAGCAAACTCTTCTCACCTGCACAAGCGGCGTGTGCAAGATGGCGGACGCGTAGTAGGGCATCCAACACACGAAGAAAAGCACAATCACAACCACCGAGATCTTGGCGGCGCGGGACTCTTCCTTGTGCAAGAAGAGCGACGCGTTGCTGATGCGGTGACGGAGAGTCGTGACGATCTGGGAGGAGGTAGAGCGCGTCGAAGGAGTCCTGGGGAGGGAGGCGGGGGAGGAAGAGAGGCCTGGGTTACTGGGTTTGTCTTTTTTTCGTGGCGAGGGTTTATTCATTTCTTGGTAATTTATGTTCTCTTCTGTTTAAATTACTTTTTCATTTAATGTTTGTTTCCAAAAATGGGGATATATTACTATTTTTAGGTGAAAGAGAGAGAGAGAAAAAATCAACCCTTAGCCTAAAACAAACGAAGCCCGCGAACGGCTCTCTGTCCGACTCACCTCGAGGGAGCTCTCGGAGGGCCGACGGCATCGAGGGTGGCGCCGCAGAGGGAGTTCCTGCGCGCCCTCTCGCTGTTCTTGTGCGCCGCGTGGTAGATCCTGACGTAGATCCAGATCAGGAGGTGCATCGGCCCTACGAAGGATACCACCATGTTGATCAGGACGAAGTAGGAGCGGAAGGTCCAGATGTCTTCTTTGGGAGGCATCGATCCGCAAACATTCCTGTTGAAAGAAGATTGAGGGTCATCGGCTGGTTAGATTTGACAACATATGACTCAATAAGATAATAATGGTTATAATATTAATAATAACAATACTTTTAACATTGCAATTATCATCATAATGATGAAAATAATAATGTTAAAGATAATAATGATGACGATAATAATATCTATTATCGTTACTATCATTATAAGCATTATTATTGCAGTATTATCATCATTATGAGGAATATATTCTTTATTCCTGTTCCTGTTCCAAAGCCCTCCGCCCCGCCCTACAGAACCCCGTCGGACTCACCACGCCCTTCCGGAGAGCTCGCCGAAACCCGCGGCGACGGCGATGAGCGCGGCGAGGACCCACCCGCCGGCGATCATGGCGACGCTCTTGGGCCGCGTGACCAGCATGTGGTAGTGGAGCGGGTCCGTGATGGCGCAGAACCTGTCGACGGCGATAAGGAGCGTGGCGAACACGGACGCCGACGCCACCAGCTCCGACACGGCGTCCATGGCGCGGCACAGAGCCACCGACTCCCAACCGACGTGAAAGGTGTCGGCCACCACCAAGGGCAGGAGGAGCCACGACGCCAGCAGGTTGCACACCGTCAGGCTCATGATGAATCTGTGAAAAGAAAAAGAAAATAGTTTAATAACAGGTGATAAAAGGAAACAACAGCAAATAACCGAAATGACGGACGAGAAGAAAAGGAATGAAATCAATCCAACAACAAACATGAGCATAATGAACCTCCTCGACACGGCGAGTCTCGGTCGGAACTTCGCTCATGAATTTTATCCCCATTTCTTTTCGTTTATTATCATCTAATATTTTCGCCAAATGAATTTATTTGCATCTCAAACTGTCATAAAAACGAGATAAAGAATGTTTCATCATCAGCTTCTCAGTCATAAAGCCTAATCCCTGGGTGGCCGTGACGAGCGGGGATGGAGGACAGACGGAAACATTACATCAGGCAGACATACGAGACGCCGCTGATCCCACAATGAATGAATGATGTTGGTCGTCGTCCTGGCTCACTCGACCCGCGCAGGGAGTGTTGGACCGCTGAAGGTCGCCCCAGGTACGCCCCTCTCCCTCGCTCCCTTGGGCCCTCTCCCCCCTCGCCTCATGCCCCACACCTGTCTGCCTCCTTTTTGGGCATGCCTCAGGGAATAGGGTTTGGTAATCGCTATTTCATTCATTTCCCATTTTCGGTGATTATATTCAATATACGGAAGAGATAATACGCTTACATGAAAAAGAAGATATCGACTCTACGCATTTTCTCGAAAGTATTACGAGAAAGAGAGAGAGGGAGAGAAAAAAGGTGATGAATATTGGTTTGTGAATGTTCCTTTTGTCGGCGGATTAAGAATGCATTAGTTTAAACGCAAGTGATAGCTTCAGCCGACAGACCAATGCTGGGACTGTCAGCTTTCTTACCTGGCCAAGTCCTTACACGTCCGCTGGTGGTACTTACGGTGTGTTCATTTTATTACCTTGCCTTTACCGTGTTGTCTTCGTGCAACATCGTGTTTACACTGTAATCATTACAATAATCGTAAATCCTTGCTTAACCCAGTAAAGAGAAAAGAAGCCAATCGTTATATATAAAATCTAAGATTGCGTTTTCGTTCACAGCAGGACCGCGCTTGGGGGATTCGAACGCCGTTTCGAAAATGCTGTTTGGAAAAAGGGAGGATTCTTTATTAAGATTCGGGAAGCGAAGGAAAAGGCGCACAAGGACCTCGTCTCTGGAGGGTGCGAAGGTAAGGTGTGTTGGCGGCAATTAGAGAAGTATTTGAATGCAAGGATGCGTGTCAGGATGAATAGGAGTGTCACATCAACGCTTGTTTGGCGGACCTTTGATGGATGCGTCGAAGGCGGGGGGGAGAGGGGGGGGGGTGGAGAGAGATCGGTCGAGCATAAAATTATTTCTTTTCGTACCGTACCTTCGCCGCGTCCCAATATCCTAGCCTTTTCTTTTTTATTCTCTCTCTCTCTCTCTCTCTCTCTCTCTCCTTCCCTCCCTCCATCGCTCCCCCTTCCTCTTTATTTCTCTTTCTTTCCATTTATTCCCATTCGCAACGACCCTTCCACATACAGCCAAACCGCTTACAATTCTGCCAAGCCCCTTAAAAAACACCACGTAAACACCACGAAGGGAAGTGCCACCTATAGAAGAGTATTAAAAAGTCCTTTCTAACCTAACTCGAGGTCCCACGCCCCACGCTCTTAAGCCCAGGTGTTTGGAACTCTTTTCTTGTTCTCTTATTTATACGATTTCTTATCTTCAGGTTTGGGTTTTGGTAATGGATTTTCGTGGCCTGGATGTGGGTGTTCGTGACGTACGGGGCTTTATTGTTGCGATTGTATTTTGTTGCCGTTAAGTGGGAGTCTCTTTGTAATAGTGCATATGTTTAGCAACCAGTTGTTCATTACGGTTTCTTAATGATTCATAATGATTCCTCCAAGATCATAAATGAGATGAATTATTCACCACGCATACGATTTCATAGGTAAGAACAAAAAAGCCAGTTTCGCCGGAAGGAAAACGAAAAAAATGGCGCCTTGGTCGTTAATGACAGGGCTGGGTGATGGGCAGTTACACCCCCGTTGATGGACTGACGAATTGATCGAGTGTGAGGTGGGGGTGGGAGTGGGGGGAGGTGGTGGGGGAGGAATGGAATGCTGTTTCATATTCCATTTGCTACCGTGTTGGGGATCCGGTAATGAAGACAGTGACCCAGAGACAGAAAAAGAGAGAGAGAAAATTAAAGAGTGAGAGAGAGAATGAAAGAGAGAGAAAATGAAAGAGAGAGAGAGAGAGAGAGAGAGAGAGAGAGAGAGAGAGAGAGAGAGAGAGAGAGAGAGAGAGAGAGAGAGAGAGAGCGAGGCAATCGAAAAAAAAAGTCCAAACAATCCATTTCGTTCATATGCTTCGACTGGGTCCATAGGTCTTCAGGACATTTTTTTCTCTCTCTCTCTCCTTCGACTTCTTGCTCTAGGCCTCCTTCGACAGCCAAGGGCACGGCGGCCGGAAATGAGTGCGTGAGGTGCATATCCCAAGTAACGGGAATCGGTCAAGAATCTGTCGATTTGACAAATCAAGACGAAATGCTATCTACCGCTTTTTTTAACCACGGGGCAAAGAGACGGTGGGCTGGGGAGGGGGATGGGGATAGGGCCTATGGGGGGGGGGTGAGGGACGTGGGTTACACTTGGCACTCGAGGCGGCTGGAAGACCTTGAAAGCCATCTCTTTTCGTGGCGCCTCAAGGGTCTGGGGGGGGGGGGGGAGGTAATACCCGAGGAGGTGTCGCCTTCTTTCCTGTCGGTCGAATTCTTTGTCTTTCGGAAATACTCTTCGTCTGCTGATTATTTTCTTCTGCTCTTTTCTGCGTCTTGTCCTTTTGTCCCTCTCTCTCTCTGTCTGTCTGTCTGTCTCTCTCTCTCTCTCTCTCTCTCTCTCTCTTTCTCTCTCTCTCTCTCTCTCTCTCTCTCTCTCTCTCTCTCTCTCTCTCTCTCTCTCTCTCTCTACCTCTCTCTCTCTCTCGCTCTCTCCTTCTATCTATTAATCTATCTATATATCTATGTTTGTCTGCCACGTCTTGCACACACATCCGCCTTCGCAAGAGTATCAACGAATCCCTTATATAGAAGATATTGCAGGTGTCACCGCTCCCCCCGCTGCGAGCCTAGGAGGTCCGCCCCCCTCCCCCCCACAGCATCCGCGAGATGTGTATCTAACCGGAAGATCGACCCAGCTCACTCCGCTTGATTTCTGGCACCGGCGGGGGGGGGGGGGGGGGGAGATTGCCAGCGAGCCAGAGGCCTTCCACATCCTGGTACATTTAAGACAAAACGGAAGTACTCATATGGCAAGACGAGTGCGCGCGAAGACACTTCTGCGGGAGCTGCTTAATGCACGATAAACAAGAGCTCAACAAAAATCCATATGGATGAAGGACAAGCCACTTGAACTCTCCTCGGCGTCCTGTAGGCTTAGCGGTATGGTCTCTCGCGCCCCGATCCTGCTCTCGGGCTCTTCTCTTCCTCTCTCTCTCTCTCTCTCTCCTTCGTCCGCCCGCTTTTATAATGAGAGAGCATCGTGTTCATCTCGCGAACCCGATCATTAGGGGCGTCCGTGATCACAAACCCCCCGAGCTCTTTTATTCCCTGCCCTCCCGCCCTCCCATGCCTTCATCTAAATTGGGATGAAGCCAATCTGAATATAGTGTGAATGTCTGTAAGTATATATATATATATATATATATATATATATATATATATATATATATGTATATATATGTATATGTACACACACACACACACACACACACACACACACACACACACACACACACACACACACACACACGTACACACACACACACACGCACACACACACACACATACACATATATACATACATTCACACATATACATCATAATAGATGTATAGAACGAGAAGAGATGACGGCAATGATGTATGTTAACTAGGTACATCATTATCCCCTTCTATCTCCCCCTTCTCCCCTCCCCCCCTCCCAGTGCCTTGGGACCGGCGCATAATCAGACAAGTCACCATAACTCAGTCGACCCCCTTTCTGAACGGTAGCGAGACGGTGTTGTGAGACGGCGGCGGTTCGTAAAACGGTTCAGCGGTCCAACAACAAGCTGTGGCAAAGTGAATATGGATTTTATTCAAATTTCGCTCCCTCTCTCCTCTCCTCATGTCTCCCTATTTACATGGGAGATTGCTGGTCCTCATCAATCTCCCAGCGAAGAACGATCGTCTTTTGTTCTAAGCGAGCAGACCGCGGCGCTAATGGCTCGAACGTTTGACGCGATTCGAGACCAATTATCGAAGCAAACACGTCGGAGTTATTATCAGTGACTAACCATACCGATAGACTATAAACAGAAGAGAACTTCCTTCCCTTCAAGTGTCCAGCTTAACCCCTCCCCTTCCAAGAACGTTTTCTTTAAAGAGACGCCAGACAGTGATAAGGCTAAGTACACCCTACGCCTTTATCTTCCTTACAAATGTACAACGCGATTCGACCTTTTCCAAGACCTTTTTTTTCTCTCCAATAGAAAGGCTATTACAGGAGTTCGCGGCGGGCAGGAGGAAGGGGCCACGACCGTGTATGACCGCCTGTCTGAAGGAGTGGCAGCCTAAGGCACTTGCAGACACCGGGGCAAGGCACAGAGAGAGGAAGGGAGGGAGAGAGAGAGAGAGAGAGAGAGAGAGAGAGAGAGAGAGAGAGAGAGAGAGAGAGAGAGAGAGAGAGAGAGAGAGAGAGAGAGATGAGAAGGAGAGGGAGAGGGGAGAAGGAGAAGGAAGGGGAGAGGGAAAAGGAGAAAAGGAAGGAGAAGGAGAGGGAGAGAGAGAGAGAACAGCCGCCGGTGGTCCTTCATGTTTGTGGGTGGGAAAAGGCGAAGAATTTCCGTTGCGTTCGGTGGTTGTTACTTTTAGTTTCTTTTATCTGTTTGTTTGTTTTCAGTCCTTCCTATCCTCCCTCCCTCCCTCTCTCCCTCATTCCATCCCTCTCTTCCTTCCCACTCTCACTTTTCTCTCTTTCCCTCAGTCTTCCTACCAGCCTGTCTCACTCTCAC